GCTGTTGCTGTACCAGGTTAGCTCCCTTGACACCTATTCAGGCTTCTGTTGCTGCAATTACCACACACCCAGCTCACAGCAACACTCAGCTGCCCTCACCCAGGCTGTGCATCACCTGTGTCCTCTGTCCAGCCCTGCTACCCAGAACAGCCGGCCTCACACTTCACTGTCATCATCAGCAGATCTGAATTTTTTTTTTCCGAGACAGGGTTTCTCTGTAGTTTGGGTGCCTGTCCTGGATCTTGCCCTGTAGATCAGGCTGGCCTCGAACTCACAGAGATCTACCTAACTGCCTCCCAAGTGCTGGGATTAACAACTGCCTGGCTTAACAACTGGGGATTCTTAAAGGGGGGCGGGATTAGTTTTAAAAAAAGGTTTTTCCCCACATTAAAAATGAGAAATATTATGATATAGGGAGTTAAGTCTCTGTATAGTTCCACAATGGCTGGTTTGAAAATGGAACTTAGCTGGGATTGACATAATGTCAACTATAATCATTATCATTTTGATCATTTTGGTAATTCTTGTCTTATCCCTAAAAAAATTGTTGGATATCAGTGCCAAATACAAAAAAACTGACTGATAAAGATGATTAAAATCCTTAGACAAACTAATGAAACTAAGAAAAATGTTCACATACACAAGAGTATAGAGCAGAAGTTACCACATTATTGCATTATGAAACTGAAGAGGAGTGACTCAAGGTTATTAGAAAACCAACCTTAATCTATCTAGTTACCATTCAAGAATGATCACCAGATGATAGGCATCTCCAAGGCTATTCAAAAGTTAACTGGGATCCTATAGAAGTGTTAGATTTGAAGAGATTTAAGGAAGCAATAGTTTTGTATGGTATGCATTCACCTTTTGTGAAGCAGATGTTAAATTCATGGGCCACTCAGAACAGAATTATTCTTCAGAATTGGAAAGATTTAGTTCCATCAATATTGGAAGCTGGTCCTCAGTTACAGTGGAGAACCTGGTGGAGAGACGAAGCTAGGATCATCGAACAATGAGGTAGGGCTAGAGGTTATGAGATTTCCCAAGATCAAATCCTGGATGAGGGTCATTATGCTGATGTGGGATACAAATTACATTTGATGATCACATCTTGGCCCTACACTGTACAGCAGCTTTGACTGCTTGGGACAAGATTGAAGAATCAGGAAAGAGGACTGAGCCATTTACTAAAATTATACAAGGCCCAAAACAAGCCTTCACTGATTTTTTTTACAAAGATCGACCAGTTATAAATAGAATGATACAAGATCCAGAAGTTAAGACAAATATTAATTGAATCTTTGTCTTTTGAAAATGCTGCAAGATCAGCATCCCTAGATGAATGGATTAGAAATGCAGCTGATATTGGATCACACACTTATGATGATCCTTGGATAGAAGAAGTGATTTCTAAAATGAGTTACATTGGAGATGAGGTTTTGCTTTTGTTTCTCAGGAGAAGAAAAGCTATGGATACCACCAAAATTGATAAGATTAGAGTCGAACAGGAGAGACCACTTGTTTAGAGGAGGTGATAGTTCATCAAATAGCATGGCCATTCAATCTAAACTAACTTATAAGACTAACAAATGCTTCTCATTTGGTCAGATATAACCTGCCAAAAAGGAAACTCTGCAAAGTTAGGGTTGGGGCAGTGTTTTGTCTTTCCAGGAGAATGAAAGCAACCAGCTAAGGAATCTGAAAACCACTGGACAAATGAGACATCTGAAGAAAAAGGATGAATTATCCAGAGAAAATGTCCCAAGAAAAAGAGTAAATTGGCTGGGCGGTGATGGCACAAGCCTTTAATCCCAGCACTCTGGAGGCAGAGGCAGGCGGATCTTTGTGAGTTTGAGGCCAGCCTTGTATACAGAGCGAGTTCTAGGACAGGCACCAAAGCTACACAGAGAAACCCTGTCTCAAAAAACCAAAAAAAAAAAAAAAAAAAAAAAAAAAAAAAAGAAAAGAAAAAGAAAAAGAAAAGAAAAAGAAAAAGAAAAGAGTAAATTGGTCTATTGATATATCACATTTCCAACAGGATAAAATTTCATGAATCTTCCCAAATGTTTGTTTCTGCTGTTCTCTACAGACATATAAGGCAAATGGTCTTTTTGTAGTCCCAGTTCAATTAAAAATTAAAGCTGGCTTTGGAGTTGGAACGTGGCTCTCTCCTCTAAACCCAAGCATGCTTGTTAAAGGAAAATCCAAAATCTGTTTCATATCAGAAGGGCCACCTGATATGGGACAGAAGAAAAACCAAATTTAGAGGACTATTCTATTGCCACTAATGACATAATTCTTTGGTTTTATTTTGACTCTTTAAAACTTTTCTTAAGGTATAAATATTATTTCAAAATTTATAGGTGTCCTGTCATGATATTAATGGTCAAAGAGAGTATTAATTTTAGAAAAGGGCTTCATCTAGCTTCTTATACATGATTTTGGGCTTGAGTCTGAATCAGGTAACTAGGAATTAAGTTTGTGTACTCCAGATATACAACAAATTATGATCTTTTAACCTCTCCAAGATCTGCTGCATATGACATTTAAAATGCTTAAGTTTTCTGCAGTGAATCGTGACCATTCCAAACAGTGACCTGTGAAGTCTCCAACAGGATGATGGGGTCCCACAACAGCGATTCCACCTGGACTGTGGTAATGCCACTAAGCTGACAAATCAGCTTTAGACTATAAACTGCTCAGGACAATTTCAAGCTGCTAGCTGACATGGTCCAGTCTCATGCACTACTCCAGCCAGGGCTTCAGATAAGGCCTACACTTTCCCCTTACACAGAGATCAGCAACAAATGACATAGCTTTCTCTCCTAGGACTTAACTATTATCTCAATTTTCTCAGGGTCCCCTAGAGATGCCATCACCGTCCCCGTCCCCCCACATACACAACAGGAAGTAATTTTAAGAACACGACACCCACATTACCAAGAGGTGGAGTGGGTGGGTTTTGGTCATTCAATGGGTTATGGATATTTGTCATTGTTTATGGGGGTTGGTTACAAGTTGTTATTGATAGTGGTCAGGAAAAAAAGCTGAACAAAGATTAAACTCAGAGATCTTGTTCTGAAAAGAAAAAGGGGGGATAGAGAAATGATAGGATAAAAGGGTAGATTATTGAATCTACTTTTAAACCAAAAAAGCAACTAGTCTTAATTGTTTTACATTGGTATGGATTTTTGTATATTGATACAAATTAGAGATTATTTTTGTTATACTGTATATCTGTTTCTACTCTTGTTTAAGATATTTTTGCATATTGATACAAATTTAAGGTTACTTTTGTTAGAACATACTATACATATGTTTCTACTCTTGTTTAAGCTGTTGTACCTATGCAGCTCATTTAACAATGTAATGTAAATTTCTAGTCCTTGAAAGTTATTAATACAGGTTGGTAGTTAGTTACCTATTATAATCAAACTTGTAGTCACATTAGATATGTTTTCAAGGTCAAACAGATATATTTTAGATAAACAGGTGGTCTTCAAACACTTCGGAGATCTACAGAATATGGCATTTAAGATGTATTAATAATATAAGGCTTTTTATGACAATGAGACACATCTGTTCCTGGCAGCACCAGTCTACTTGAGAGAAGATGATGGACATTGAAGAAACTCCATATGGAGTTTGCTTTCTTTGTGGCAAAAGTTAGCCACTGGGCAAGAAACTACCCTTGCCTCAACTGCTGATAGTATGCTGCCCAAATTGGACCAGCAGGACACACAAAAAAGCAACTGCTGAACTTTGCTAAGACAAGGTAGGACATTCCTTTAAAATTCCTGCTTCACAGAAGTGTCTGTCAGATATTCTAGGCCTGTAGGCTGAAGATAGATGCCCCAATGTTACAGAGGAACCTTGGGTGACTGTCCAGGCAGCCAGCTGTTTCTGCCATTTCTTAGTTTTGGAAGTTGTTTGCTCTGCATTTCCTGTTTACTAAGGTAATATTATGTCCTTCTTGGGTCTCTGATGGAGCTAAAGACTAGATAGTTATAGTTTTCCTTGTTACCAAATTCAGAAAAGAGAGATATAAAAGGATAGTTTTGGGTTGGTAATACAAGTTAGGACAGAAAGTGAATAAGGTAGAAAACTTTAGACTCACCAAGAAAGGATAGATAATGGAGTATTTCTCTGAATTTGTCAAATGCAAATGGACTGGACATTGTGAATGTAATTCTTTTTTCTTTTTCTTTTTTTTGGTTTTTTTGAGACAGGGTTTCTCTATGTAGCTTTGGGCCTGTCCTGGATCTTGCTCTATAGGCCAGGCTGGCCTTGAACTCACAGAGATCCACCTGGCTCTGCCTCCCGAGTGCTGGGATTAAAGGTGTGCGCCACCACCGCCTGGCCGTGAATGTAATTCTTAACTGAATTGTTCTTATTGTATATAATTTTACTATGTTAGTTAAAACCTTCCCTTTCTATTTAGACAAAAAGGGGGAAATGTGTGATATTTTGATTGCATTCTGACAATAAAGTTTGCTCTGAGTCAGAGGGTGGAGCTAACCACTAGTTGACCAAATTAACCATAGAGGTTTTGGAGGACTGAGGACAGATAGGAGACAGGAAGTGGTAAGATGGGGCTGAGAGAAAATCTTGGCCTTTTGGATGGAGGAACGGGAAAGATAGGAGGTCATTGGTGGCTTCTCTAATCATTCAAGTTCTTACCAAGATATCTTACTCCTGATTTTTTTTTTTGATAAAGAATAATTAGATAAACGCTTCACTAATAATGTGTGGGTAAGCTTAGGGTTGTTGGGGTCTTTTGTCTTCTAGTCATCCATCAGTGCAGGTATCTGAAGCTAGGACTGGCCCTGGCCACTCTTTCCAACTGCCCCTCTGATAGTGTCTTCTGCACATTTTCCCAGCTGTGCCACAGCCTGGGACTCTAGACTTACACATCATACTGTCACACACCAAGAGCTTTCCTGTCCCCACCCCATTCTCATTTTCTAAAATTTGAGCCATAGAACAGAACAGAAAAGAAGTCTGAATAAAGGCATGAAAATCTATTTCCTCCAGGGTCTTCTTTCTTCCAAGATACAGAGGACACAGGGGCTGGGGTACAGCTCAGCGACAGGCTTGCCTCGGTGTGAGAGTTCAGCCTCTAGCACCGTGGGCGGGGGCCGTATGTGATTCCAGCTTCAGGCTGGTGTTTGCTTAGCCTCGCCGTTCCCTTAGATGAAGCAGCACTCTCTGGGTGTGCAGACCCAGGACTGTTTTATGTTTAGTCTCTTCCCTGGTCACAAACTGAGCAAGTGAAAGAGTCAGAATGACAACTTAGTCTTTTGAATCATCTCCAGCCCTTCTGGAGTTTAGCTACTTCAAAAAACCACCGCCTCTGTAGAGTATGCTGAGGAAGACCTTTGCTCCCACTGTCCTTAGCCCTTCAGAGCTTAAAAACAAAACCAAAACCATAATTTTTGGGCTGAGGACGTGCCTCCATGGTACAGCACTTGCCTGCCATGTATAAGGCCCTGGGTTCGAGCTCTAGCAACAACAACTACTAAACAGTCAACTTTAACTACTACATATAAGAAGATACCTATAGTGGCTGTCTTCCAGAAGACCCAAGTTTGAGTCCCAGCACCCACATGGCAGCTCACCATAGTCTGTAACTCCAGTTCCAGGGGATCCGACGCCCTCTTCTGGCCTCCACAGGAACTAGGCATGCATGCTGTGCAAAGACATACATGCAGGCAAACACAATAATACAATTTTTAAAAGAATATACCTACACACAAATTCAAAAACATAATATTATGCTATTTTTCTGTGAGGACAGAAGCAACTCAAATGTGAGCTGAGATTTGTTGATAGTGTAGATACTAAGATAAAGTACTCCAGGCACATTTGGCAGTTCCTGTAAATGCAACATCCATGAGCCAGGTGCCAGAAGATGTTTGCTCCTATAGCCTTGGAGAAATGGCCTCCATCCACACGAACCAGCACTTTTCCCTCAGCGTTTCATGGTTAGCATCTCATCAATCACCTTTTCTCCTTAGAGTTTTTGTTTTGTTTTGTCAAAGAGACGGGGTCTCGATGTGTTTCCCACGTTGTCCTGGGAGAAAGTGATGCTCTTGCCTCAGCCTCCAAAGTAGCTAGGATAAGCGCGGGTCACAAGCGCGGGTACAGGCTGCTCTATCCAGGTTACACTGACATTTTTGGTGGTCCGTGACTGGGAACCTCTTTTGGCAACAGGAACTTCTCAGAGCTCCTCTGCCTTAGGAGGCTGCCCTGGAGCTGACTTTGCCACCCCCCCCCCTTACAGTAGATCTCTGGCATGCCCTTCAGCAACGCCGGGGAGGGATCCAGACAGCTTGATTTGAGCTAAGCAGCCAGGGAAGAACAGGTCTGTGTTTCCACCCAGCTCTTAATCATGTGGTGGGCAATGGCTAACTTGGGCGGCAACATCAATGGGACAGCATCACTCTGCTGCTGCATAAAGGAGCCCTTTCTCCTCAGGGCTGTGGCCACCTCGTCAAGACTGAACCAGGCAGCTGCTTCTAGCTCTCTCCGATTCACCTGGATCTGAAAGACAAGAGGCGCAGGGGTAAGGGGGTGGGGGGAGGAAAATTAGGAACTATAAAATTTAAAATACTAGGCCAAATGTGAAACAATGCATACAAAACTATGTTTTCTTAAATGGTAACACCTGGCATTGATGGGTTAGGTTAAAATCAGTTCTAGATATTGTCCAGAAACACAATAGAGAATTAAATATATTTTTAAATAGTTCTTTTAAAAAAGAAATTTAAAAAATATCCTATTCGTACAAGGCTAATAGCGCTTGTTAAGTCTGTTTTCAGTCCCCAGTGTACATACACATAGAATTCTAAAGTGTAGACACTAAAATTCTAAGTGGTAAGTTATCATTAATTGTGTCTGCATCAGTTGTATAACTCTTTCAATTAAAAAGCAGCTACAGGCCGGGTGGTGGTGGCGCACGCCTTTAATCCCAGCACTCGGGAGGCAGAGCCAGGCGGATCTCTGTGAGTTCGAGGCCAGCCTGAGCTACCAAGTGAGTTCCAGGAAAGGCGCAAAAAAGCTACACAGAGAAACCCTGTCTCGAAAAAACCAAAAAAAAAAAAAAAAAGAGAAAAAAAAAAAAAAACAACAAAAGCAGCTACAGGGTCAGGGAGACGGCTCAGCAGGTAAAGGCATTTGCTGTCAAGCCTGATGACCTGAGCCTGGTCCCTCGGACTGAGAGAACAGACTCCCACATCCTGTCTTGATTTCCACATATGTTCACACACAAATACATTAGTACAAACGTTACTCTCTCTCCAGGATAAAGGTCAGTGATGACCAAAAGTAAGAAGTGAAGTAAACAGACCAACTGTCCCAGTAAGTGGAAGCGGATTAGAGAGCCCATAAAAATCAGAGGACACAATTGGCAAACTGGTGGTGGGCGGAGATCCATCTGTCAGACATGCTACAGACAAGCGAGGTGGATTTGGGCAAGACACCCTAGTCCCTTTCAACCAGAAGTCCCTATGATTTTATGCCATTCATCCCCAACGTCCTGAATTCTCTGAGCAGTAAAATCCCCAAATCAATCCCCAAATCATTAAGTGAGGTGTGTGTATTCTGTCTCTATATAATGTACTGCTAAAAACTGAAGGTGAAAAATCACAACATAAATGGTGTTGGCACACTGGATACACATGCAAAAAAATGAAACTGAACCCTTTATTTCAAAAAACAACACAAAATGAATTAAAAATTAAATGTACAAGTAGGCCCTCACATAAAGCTCTTAGAAGATACTACGTTTCACGATACTGGACTGGGCACCGGCTTTTTTAGATGTGACATTAAAAACAAAGGCGGGAAAATCTAAAGTAGACAGGATGAGGTCAGAATAAAAAGCTTCTATATTGCTGGGCAGTGGCGGCACACTCCTTTAATCCCAGTGCTCAGGAGGCAGACGCAGGAGGATGTCTGTGAGTTCAAGGCCAGCCTGGTCAACAGAGCTAGTTCTAGGACAGCCAGGGTTACACAGAGAAACCCTGTCTTAGAAGGAAAAAAAAAGCTTCTATATAGCAAAGGAAACACAAAATGAAAATGTACCTATGGGATGTGAGAGCATGTCTGTAGAACAAATATCTCATTAATTAATATCTAAAATGTGTAGGGATCCCTTGCAGCTCAACAGCACAGATAGACTGTGTTGGAGCTCAGTGGTAGTGTGCACCTTTGAGGTCCAGTGTTCAATCCCTAGCACTGAAAAAAAAAAAGGCAAAACACCTGAATAGATGGTTCTTAAAAGAAGAAATACACATGGCCAACAAATATGTGAAAAAATACAGTGTCACTAATCAGAGCAATGCAGAGCAAAGCCATATGAGAGATCACTGCATACCTCCTAAGATGGTGTGGTGGTTTGGATGACAATGGCCTCCATAGGTTCATATGTTTGAATGGTTGGTCCCCAGCTGGTGTAACTGTTTGGGAAGGGTTAGGAGGTGTGGCCTTGTTAGAGGAAGTGTGACACTGGGGAGTGGGCTTTGAGGTTTCAGAAGCTCATGTCATTCCTGGTTAACTCTCTCTCTGCCTCCTGCTTGTGGATCAGATGTAATCCCTCAGTTACTTCTCCGGCACCATGCCTGCCTGCTTGCTGCTGTGCCTCCTCCCTTGATGGTCATGGACTGACCCTCTAGAACTGTTAAGCAAGACCCCAGTTGAATGTTTCATTTTATAAGTTGCCTTGGTGTCTCTTCACAGCATAGAAAAGTAACTAGGTCAGATGGCTACTCTCAAAAAACCAAAGAAGCCTGGCATGATGGCACACACCTGTAATCCCAGCACTTGGAAGGTAAAACAGGAAGATCCTAAGTTTGAGGGGAGCCAGAGTGATACAGTAAGTTGAAGGCCAGCCTGGGCTACATATAGTAAGACCCTACCTCAAAACTGAACAAAGAGACAACGGATGTCGGCAAGGATATGGAAATGGAGGATCACTATAAACTACTGGCAGAAAGGTAAGCTGGTGCAACCACTATAGAAAACTGTGGAAATTCTACAAAAAATTCAAAAGGTGGCTCTGGCCTTTAATCCCAGCATGGGGGAGGCAGAGACGGTGGCTCTCTGGGAGTTTGAGGCCTGCCTGGTCTCCACAGTGAATTCTAGGCCAGCCAGGGCTACACAGTGAAATCCTATCTCAAAATAAAAATTTAAAAATTAGAACTATCATTTGATCCAGCAATCCCACTTCTGAGCATATATCCAGGTGGATGGAAATCTGGATCTCAGAGGTACATTCCTATTGTTACTGTGACATGCTTCACAACATCCATGATATAAAAACCATCTAAATGTCTGTCAATGAAGAAAGTGTGACAAATACATATCGTGAAGTAGTATTGAGGGGCTTTGTTTGATTTTTTTTTCAGGGGTCTAATGTAGTCCTAGGTTGCCTCCAACTTGCTATGTCAATCAGAGCTGACCTTGAACTCCCGGATCTTCCTTCCTCTGCTTCCCAAGTACCAAGGGAACAGGCATTTGTCACCCTGGCTGGCATTACTGAGTTGATAAAACGAGGGAAATCCTACATTTATAGTAAGTGGATGGGCCTGGAAGACATGCTAAGTGGAATAAGGCTGATGCAGATTCCACATAGTCTCAGCTGCATGGAGACTCGAAAATAGTTAACCACATAGAAAGAAAGAGTAGAGTGCTTGTCCCAAGGCCTGGAAGGGGGTAATGGGGAGGCAGGGGCCAAAGGATATGAAGTCTCACTTATACAGAACAGGTTCTGGTGGTCTGTACAGCACCTAGAGTTAGCAACATTCTGTTGAATACATTAAAGTAAGGCTTATGTTAACTGCTCTTAGCACAGAGGAAAAGCAGGGGTGGGGTGGTGGGGGTGGTGGTGGGGGACACAGAAAATGATGGGTAAGCTTATGACACAGAGAGTAATGTCTGATGGATAGTTCCCAATACACGCTTCTCTCCAAAGCCAGCCAGTCAGATGCATCAGATGTCTACAGACATCTGTAGATAAGTCTTTAAGAACAAAACAGGCTCTCATGTAGTCTAGGCTGGCCTCAAACTTCTAATGCTCCTGCCTCCACCTCCCAAGTGTTGGGATTATAAATAAGCAAGGACTACCAGTTTGGGTTTCTATAGTGCTGAGGACTGAACCTGTGACTTTGTGTACCTTAGGCTTACTCTACCAACCGAGCCCCCCGCCCCCAGTAAACTCTGTGTGTTAATTACACGTCAAGAAAGCAGCTCTAAGGGAAGTTGTTCCATAACTGAGATATATGCAAGGGAGAATGATGATTTGTTTCCATTCTCAAGGGCAAATTCCTTCAGGATACTGAGTATCTTATATATCGCCATATAACCTAGTATTCCTTAAGACAAGTGCTCAGAAAGTACTCGCTGGCGGGTGACGGGGACATCACGGCATAAGGGAAAGTTAGGAATTTACCTCTGTCTGCCCTGGTTTCACGGTTGCATGACAGGCAATCATGAGTGAGCTGTTGGGAAAGGGCCAGTGCTGGGACGCGGAGTACCGCAGGTTCTCCACTTCCAGGCCCACCTCTTCTGCAACTTCCCGCTGGACGGCCTCTTCCACACTTTCACCTGAAAGCACTCAGATTAATCCCCGACAGCCCTGGAGCAGGAAAACTGTATGTTACCTATCTGCATCACGCCAGCCCGAGTGCGAGAGCCGTCTCAACGCGGTGCTCCTGCGAGTGTCTCAAGTCTCGGTTCCCAGCACAAGGACTCGGACCCCGAGTAGGGCCAGTGCTCGTCTAGTGGGCTGGTTACAGTGCGGGTGAGTGTGGCGATGGGAAGGTTACTGCTGCCCTCCGCCCTATGACACTGCCACCTTTCACCATCTGTAGACCTGACCCAGTGAACTAACAGAGATTACAGCATGAGGAACTGTAAGCAAGCATGGGATTCTCGTTAGCAGCGGTGTGCTGGAAACTCAGGGAGAAGTACACTCATGTCTGTAACTCGTTCATCAGAAAGTAAGACGGGCCGATGGCCGGGCAGACAAATGGGTAGATGCGTATGTGAGGAGAGTGAAATCAAAGATCACAGAACTGAGGCAGTGGGTGTGGGGGACTCGCTGTCTAATTCTTCCAGCTATGCTGCATGTGCGAAATTTTGCCTCTGGTTACGTAGGAAATGAAGCATGATTCCAGGACAGTTTCCTTGACATGAGGATGAATATTTGTGACTCGAGCAGGATGGCAACAGGACAAATGTGTCGCATCTTCCCCTGTCGCCTGCACCTCCTCCCCTCCTTACCTATGTCACAGAAGCCTGCCAGGGCAGAGTACAACCCTTTGGGGAAGGAGCTCTGGCGGGCGAGCAGGCACCGGGCCCCGTCCGTCACCAGCGTGATCACCACAGGGGCCATCTAGGAAAGGAGAATGGAAACTGAGGTGCTGGCATTACGGGGCCTAGGAGGCAAAAGGAAGAGGCAGTTGTGGAAGCCTTCTGAGCACAGAGGCTTCCTTCCCCGTGACAGAGTGGGAGCAATCTCCTTGGACTGCTGGCCTCAATTTTCTTTTTCTTTCTTCCTTCCTTCCTTCCTTCCTTCCTTCCTTCCTTCCTTCCTTCCTTCCTTTCTTTCTTTCTTTCTTTCTTTCTTTCTTTCTCTCTCTCTCTCTCTCTCTCTCTCTCTCTCTCTCTCTCTCTCTCTCTTTCCCTTCCTTCCTTCCTTCCTTTCTTTTTTTTTTTTTTTGAGACAAGGTCTCTCTGTGTAGTTTTGGTGCCTGTCCTGTTTTGGTCACTCTGTAGGCCAGGCTGGCCTCGAACTCATGGAGATCCACCTGCCTCTGCCTCCCGAGTTTCTCTTCTCATTTTAATTCTAGGGTAGCCAAGGCTACATAGAGACATAGAGAGGCCCCTTTTCAAATAACAAAGAGAAATATTTTTGAGATTAATTAATTAATTTTATTTTTTCTGAGACAGGGTCTCCCTACATAGCCCTGGATATCCTGGAACTCACTGTGGAGACCAGGTTGGCCTCAAACTCATAAAGATCTGCCCACTTGTGCCTCCCACGATGCCTGGCTGTTTATTTTTATTTTATCCGTATGAATGTTGTGCCTGTATTATGTACGGACGTGTACCACAGGCATGCCTGGTGCCCAAAGAAGCCAGAAGAGGGCACTGGATCCCCTGGAACTGGAGTCACAGAGGTTTGTGGGTTGCCATATGGTGCTGGGAATCGAACCTAGCTCTTCTGGAAGAGCAGCCAGTGCTCTTAACTGCCGAGCCGTCTCCCCAGCCACTTCCTTTGATTTTTGTGAAAGTATCTCAGGTAACCCAGGCTGCCTTCGCCTCCCAAGTACTGGAATGAGGAGTATGTCCCACCCCACTGCGCCCCACCTGTGGATAGTAGATGATCTTATTGGAAGGGCACACTCGCTTGCTACCGGCCATGTTCTTCTCAGTAGGCTGCCCGCTTCTGCTGCAGAACTGATGACCGTCGTGCCAGCGGAGGAGAGCCTGAGCCTAGAGATACAAAGCAGGGTCCGCCTTTAGAGAAAGGTGGCCAGACCAATTCGTGGGGGAGTCTTTTCCTGGCTCACTTATTTCAAGCAAGTTGCTTAATTGTATTATTACTGGTGTGTGGGGCGGGTGGTGGTGGTGGTGGTGGTACATGTGCCTTGGCACATGGGTGGGTCACAGGAGAACGTGGTGCGGCTGGATCTCCCCTTCCACCTTTACAGGGAGCATCCCAGGCCACCAGGCTTGTATGGCAGTCGCCTTTACCTGCTGGGCCATCGCACTGGTCCTAGCTCACCTACTTCAAGTGCCTTTAGACTGTAAAATAAGGAAATGACCTAAGGATATTTTCCTAGCACCAAAAATCTAAAAGAAAGTATATTTTAGGTACTTGTAATTTTTTTATTCTTTACGGAGCTGGCAGTCTACAGCTTCACATACACTAGGAAGTAATCTTCCACTGAGCTGGGTCTCTAGCCTAAATGGTACTTTGAAATGCACTATAGATTGCTTAAAACATAAAAATATACAGCAATATAATACACACCCATAAAATGTGACCAAGCTCCAGAAGAAAACATTTCAATTTCTATTATACTTAAACATTTATTTCATACTTATTCCTCCTCAATGAAGTTGTGATTTTGTTTTTGAAAAATTTTGCATGTGTGTGTGTGTGTGTGTGTGTGTGTGTGTGTGTGTGTGTTTGTGTGTGTGTGTGTGTATGTGTGTTTGTGTGTGTGTGTGTGTATGTGTGTTTGTGTGTGTGTGTGTGTGTTTGTGTGTGTGTGTGTGTTTGTGTGTGTGTGTGTGTGTGTGTTTGTGTGTGTGTGTGTGTTTGTGTGTGTGTGTGTGTGTTTGTGTGTGTGTGTGTGTGTTTGTGTGTGTGTGTGTGTTTGTGTGTGTGTGTGTGTGTATGTGTGTGTGTGTGTATGTGTGTTTGTGTGTGTGTGTGTGTGTGTGTGTGTGTGTGTGTGTGTGTGTGTGTGTTTGTGTGTATGGGGGAAGGTCGGAGAACAACCTTTCTTCCAATAGGGGTCTCATTGGCTCTGCTGTGCAGTGTACTCCAGACTAGTGGCCCCTGAGCCCTTCTCCTGCCTCTGCCCGAGATCTTGCCCTAGGAGTACTGGGATTCCAGTGGCACACCGCAGCATCTGGCTTTTACATGGGTTCCCAGGATGGAACTCGCATCAGGCTTGAAGCATTTCCACCCACTGCTTCCCCCACTCAAGTTGTGATTTTCTTTTTCCACCTAAAAAAGGCTTATGGGTTTCTCTTTAATTTAGAGCAGAGAGGTGTGTAGATGCCCATAATCCCAGGGCTGGGGAAATGGAGACCAAAGGATCAGGAGTTCAAGGCCATCCTCAGCTATACAGTAAGCTGAAGGCCAGCCTGAGATCCTGTCTTTAAAACAACAACAACAACCAAAACATTAAAGGCTGGTATGATGATAAATGTTGTCAACGTCACAGGAAATGTCAACTTGATGGAAACAGTCTCTGGGCACGTCTGGGAAAGATTATCTAGTTAGGTTCATGGAGGTGAGAAGACCCACCCAATCGTGTCTAGCACCATTTCATGGGCTGGGATCCTGGATGGAATAAAAAGGAGAAGCCAGGCTGATCCTTCCTCACTCTTTGCCTCCTGACTGTGGATATAATGGGACCACCAACCTCAAGCCGCCCTGACTCCCCCACCATGATGGACCACATCCTCACACTTCAGCCGAACTAAACCCTTTCTCATTGGACTTCTTTTTGTCTGGGTTTGTTATCACAGCACCAGGAAAAGTAATCAGTACATCTAACATGTAGGCCACTCTGAGTTCAATCCTAGTACCACATAAACCAGGCATGCCAGGGCATGCTTATAATCCTGGTAATTCAAAAATAGACTCAGAAAGATCACAAGTTCAAGGTCATCTTCAGCTACATAACGAGTTCAAGACCAGCCTGGGGTAGATAAGACCCTGTTTCAAAAAAATAAAATTAAAAAATCAACAATAAAAATTAACAAGTGAAATCTAAAGCTGTGAGAACATGTTATTAAAGCAATGTAAAATTATTTCTCATGTAAAAAAAATCATGATGTATATCATGCTATGGGGTTAAAGAAATATTTATGAAGTTGGGCTGGAGAGATGGCCCAGTGGTTAAGAGTACATACTGCTCTTGCAGAGGACCAGAGTTCAGTTCCCAGCACCTATGACCTATAACAGGTGGTTCACAATTGCTCGTGCCCAATTCTGGCCTCTGCAGACACCTACACTCATATGCACAACCTACATTCAGGCATATATGCACATACAATTAAAAATAAAATATTTAAAAAACAGTTATGAGAAACATTATATAAAAACATATTAATAAATAATAATTAATATTTATTTAAAAATAGAGATCCTGTTGCTATGTTCTTAGGAGGTAAATCTTCACAGCAGCTCTGCTAAAAAGCAGAACAAGAACAGTGAACAATCTTTCACAGTGCACTGTCCTCTGCCAACGTGCAGGAAGGCCTGTGATCTGTGAGAATCTGTGTCTCACCCCAGGATTGTAAGCACATGTGTATCTGCCCGTACACACAACCCTATTATACTTCCTACGGAACTGAGAAACCAGACCTACCGTGAACAGCAAGGAGGAATCCATCGAGTTCAGCTGAAAAACAGCCTGCCTCAGTGTGATGAAAGAACCTCTGAGCTCTGCCTCTATTTCAGATTTTGGCAAGGGGGCTAGAAAATCAGAAAAGAGAATGTGATTACACAGATGTCCAGCTTTGCCTCTGTCAAGTCCCTCCTGCCAGAGCTCTGCGTCCCAAATTTGCCTACGAGACTCATCTAGGGATCTGGGAAATGACACAGGTTCTCAAGCTTCTACCTGCAGAGAGAGACAGAAAGAGAGAGAGAGAGACAGACAGACAGACAGAGACAGAGAAGGCATGCTCATGCACAAAGGTGTGTGGTACCATGTAATAGCTGCTCTGGGTTTCCAAATCTGAATTTTGGAAGATTAAAAAAAAATTAAACAGGTACCAAGTGATCCTTAGGTTAGTTTGGGAAATGGTAGAGCACAGTATTTCTCAAGATCCTCTTTAGAGTGGTCAGGATCAGCAACACCAATCCTTGGAAAACATAAACTGTGGTGTCCAAGCTCATCCCACCACCATTAACTTACACCCCAGACACTGAAGAGACAAGGAAAGCATGGCAGGATCCAAACCGACTCTAAAGTGGAGGACCCAGAACTACTCCATGGAATCATTCTTAGAAAAAATGATACCACGATTTTGTGTGTTTTTAGACAGAACGTTGTGTAGTCAGGTTGGCCTCATACTCTGTGTAGACAGGATGATCTTTAACTCCTCAAGTACTGAGATGACTAGCACGTACCACCATGCCAAGCTTTTGCTCTGTTCCCCCCCCCCCGAAAAACCCCTCACTACGTAGGCTAAGCTGGCCTAGAACTCAAATTCTTTGGCCTCAGCCTCCCTCACGTACTGGGATTACATGCTGCCATACTCAGTTGTGAAGACATGAATTTTAAAATACTTATTAAATAGTTAAAATATAAAGTGTATACATGTGTGGGGAATAATATAATAGGCAAGTGTGTTCCCACCACCTGGACAAACATCATTACAATCCCCTTGATTTTCAGCCAGGTCCGAGGTAGTGCAAGCCCGTTATCCCAGCACATGGGAGGCTGAGGCAGAAGCCCTGAATCGGAGGTCAGTCTGGGCTATGTAGCAAGTTCCAGGCTATCTAAAGCCTCACAGCACATGCTTCCTTATTCTCTTTTCAGTGATAATAGTGTTTTTATATCCTTATTTAAAGGGAAAAACTGACATTTTTGTATGTGTAAAATTTTCTTTGAAATGGTATCATGCAAAAGCCTAAAGGCTGAGAGCAGCAGGGGGTTGCCTATTAGGAAAAGGGGTACGCACCGTGGACGGAGGATGCGCTCTTCAGACCCAGATCCAAAGCAAACCATGCTTCATGCTGGTTGGAGCATCCAATCAGCACTGAATCTTCTATTCTTTGTGAGTCCTGTCTAAACTTACCCAGCAGCCCTTCCAACTCTAAATAACAAAAGAGAAGAGGGAGAGAAAAAGTGAGACATGGGTTTTAGTCACCTCAACACAAGTGAGACCCACAGGAAGTAATTCTGCTTAGAGTACACAGTTGCTACCTCAGGATCGGCTGGGGTCTGTTAAAGAATGTCTCTTACATACCAAAATTTGGGTATGCTCAAATCTCTTATATAAAATAAGGTAGTATTTGTCAATACTTTAAATAGCTCTTGGTTGCTTAATATCAAATAACAATGCAACTATGTACATAACTGTTTATGCTATTGTTTAGGGAATAATGATAATGAACATCTGACCATGTTTAGTATATCATAGATTTTATTTAGTGGTATTTACTCTCAATTTGATGGTTGCAGGATTTTTTCCCCCTGCTACTGGGACTGAATCTAGGAACCTCATTGTGGAGGTCTGAGTAAAAATGGCCCTTGTAGGTGCCTGTGTTTGATACTTGGTCCCAGTTGGTAGAACTGTTTGGGAAGGATTAGGAGGTGTGGCCTTGTTGCAGGAGGTGTGTCACTGCATGGGAGGGTGTGGGTAGGGCTTGAGGTTTCCAAAGCCCATGCTGTCTCCAGTGTGTTCTCTGCCTCCTGGTTTCAAGATGTAAGCTCCCAGCTACTGCCCCAGTGCCATGCTTCCCTGCCATGATGCGCGCATCTGTCTGAAACGGTAAGCCCAGAATACACTCTTTCTTCTGCAGATTGCCTTGGTTGTGCTGTTTCATCACAGGACAGAAAAGTAACTAAGACACTCATGTATGTTGGTCAAGTACTCTACCACTGAGTCATGTCCCCTGCAGGCAGAGTTTTAAAAACTATTTTCAAGCCCGGGGGCGGGGGGGGGGGGGGGGGGGGGGTTGGCGGTGGTGGCACACACCTTTAATCCCAGCACTGGGGATTAAACTCTGTGAGTTTGAGGCCAGCCTGGGCTACAGAAAAGGCTCCAAAGCTACACAGAGAAACCCTGTCTCAAAAAACCAAAACAAAAAAAAATTTTTTTTTCAATCCACACTTGAATCTCAAAAATAAAATCCCCCAATCGAGCAGTATATAGATTTGTAGTTGCACGTACTAAAAGAGGTCTCAAAATTAATTTCATTCAATTTTGACCTAGTCAAAATCAAGTTAGGATGCAAATCTTGAACTATGTAAATTGAAATTCCTTGAGGCTAGAAATCACTAGCCTAAGGTAAGGCTGGAAAACCTTCTCTGTAAAGAGAAACCAAGTATTTTAGAGTTTATAATACAGTCTGCGACGACTACTCAATTGCCATTGCAGCATAAAAGCAGCTGAACACAGTATGTGAAGGAATGAGTGTGGCTGTGCTACAATACAATTTCATTTTTAAAATGGGCAGTGGCCCATCCCATTTGGATGGCAGCTTCATGGACCTCTGTTTAAGGCACTCATGGTTCATATCACCACCAAGAACATCTAACTAGCAATTCAAGTTCATACAATGAGCTATTAGTTAGTAGAAACAGTATGGAAGCTTGAGTCTCAAGAGCTGTTTGAAAAATCTGAACTCATTTAAAATGCAAGGATATTTTTGGAGCTTCAGTGTGACCTGAATTTCACCTAGTGGCCAAAGCCTCGTCTACTCCATTGGTGAACTCGGACCTTACCTGCTCGGCTAAGCCGAGGGACCAGATATCGATGTCCCGATGCCTGCTGCAGCAAAGGAGCCAGGTCATGAAAGAGGTAAAACACTCCGGTCTGCTGAGCCTTCCTGCAGGCCTCATTATCTTCCTTCAATTCAAATAAGTATCTGCATTTGGGAAATGAGCCACTGAAAGACCAGACTTAGGCTAGTGAGGTGACCAAGCGGGTAGACAACCTGAGTTCAATCTCCAGAACCCTCATGGTGGAAGGAGAGAGCCAACTCCCTCAAATTATCCTCTGACCTCCACACATGTGCCGTGACCTAGACAGATACAGCCCAAGTTCAGTAAACAAGCAAACACAAATAAACCACACTTGGTTGTTTGTCTGTCATTCATTTGGGGGAATTCTTAACTCTCCTGCACTGGATGCATGTATGTATGTATGCATGTACGTATATATGTATGTATGTATTACAGAACTGGAGCCTGAAGCCAAGTTCATGGACATGCTGGGCAAGCTCTGCAACATTGAGCTGTATGCTCAATACTCTTCTCACCTTTTATCACTAAGTTGCCCTGGCCAGTCTGAACTCACTCTGTAGTCCAGGAAGGCCGTGAATATAATCCTCCTGCCTTAGCTTCGAGAGTAGCTGCGATTACAGGTCAGTGCCATCATGCTCCATTCATCTCTTTCCATCCCAGTTTGCTCCAACGTCGAGGTGGCCACAGGCAAGTATGCACTCTGGTCTGCATCCTGCTGCTCCCGTCCATCCTTCTGTGTGCTGCTGCACCGCTGTGTCTGGAAAGACGGGTTTCTTCAAGGGCAGGGTCTGCCGTTCTTGGCTTCCCAACTCAGTAACTGGATACGGAATGGCTCAGTCCAATCGGTATTTATTGACTTATAAAACTTACTGAATTAAACCTTAAGGGACTTTGCCAGCTTTACACGGAGAGGCAAGAATTTGCAGGCGGTGGACCGACAGGAAGAGGAGGACAGACCCACAGACGGAGCAGGCTGGATTTATTTTGCAGACAGCAAACACTGCACCTTTAGGATCTCATCAATCCAGGGAAGACGGGGCACACATGTGACAAACAGGCACCCTTGTTTCTGACATGAACTCCTTTGGCTCCTTAAGTGTACCAGAGGGACCACAGGTAAAGCCCATTCTTGACCTAACTCATAGTGATAATATTTTCACTAGCCAAAATAAAAATGTGGATTGAGAAAACTTAGTGATGGCCCACGCCTTAAATCCCAGTACTCAGGAGGCAGAAGAGGTGGATCTCTGTGAGTTCTAGAGCAATGAGGGCTATGTAGAGACCCTGTCTCCAAAAAAAAAAAAAAAAAAAAAAAAAGAAGAAGAAGAAAGAAAGAAAGAAAAGGAAAACTTACTGGCTTCTCAAAAAGAGACAATAATAAAGCAAGTTCTAGGCTTTTCTAGTACCTTCATTTAGGGTGCCTGGAGTCTGTCCACAAGTTTTACAAATTGAATCAGAGTCCTTAAGATTTAGTGGTGGGGCTGGAGAGATGGCTCAGAGGTTAAGAGCACTGGCTTGAGGTCCTGAGTTCAATTCCCAGCAACCACATTATAGGTGGCTCACAGCCATCTATAATGAGATCTGGTGCCCTCTTCTGGCATGCAGGCAGAACACCGTATACATAATAAATAAATCAAAATCTTATAAAAAAAAAAAAAAGATTCAGTGGTGGACTAAATGACCACTATAGACCAGGCTGCCTTGAACTCAGAGATCCACCCGCCTCTGCCTCCTGAGTGCTGAGATTAAAAGTATGCACCTTCACCATCAAGCTAATTATAATTTATTTTTATTTTATGTTCATTGGTGTTTTACCTGCACATGCATGTCTGTGTGGGAGTGTCAGATTCCCTGGAACTGGAATTACAGACAGGTATGAGCTGCCATGTGGGTGCTGGGAATTGAACCTGGATCCTCTGGAAGAGCAGCCAGTGCTCTTAACTACTGAGCCATCTTCCCAGTACCAATTATTATTATTTTTTTCAAAAAGGGAAACCTTCAATAATCCCACTAATCAGAGAAATTCCTATTTGGAATTTTGGAGTTATTTAAATAGTATTGCGTATCAACATATATAGAAAGGAATACAGGTATACATAGAATAATATGTGAGTGGATATTTGTTTGCTTGTTTTGTTTTTCAATACAAGGTTTCTCGGTGTAGCCCTGGCTGTCCCTGGAACTCTCTCTGTAGACCAGGCTGGCTTCTAAGGATCCGCCCGCCTCTGCCCGCCAAGTGCTGGGATTAAAGGCGTGTGCCACCACTGCCTGGCCATTTGCAGTCTTTTGTTGTTGCTATTTTTCTTTAAAGATTTATCTATTTTTATTTATGTGAATGTGTGTTTTGCCTCCATGCATGTATGTGTGTATCATGTGTATGCCTGGTGCCTCTGGAACCAGAAGAGGGTGTATGAACCCTTGGAACTGGAGTTAAAGATGGTTGTGAGCTCCCGTGCAGATGCTGGAACCAAATCTGGGCCTTCTACAGGAGCAGCCGGTGCTCTTCACTGCTGAGCCTTTGCTATTGGTAGCTTGGAGGGCCAGCTTCCAGCTACCACCAGAGTATGCAAAAAAATCCACAAAGGCGGCGAGGGCTTAGGAAAAATTCTTATCTATCTGAAGGCTAGATTTTTTCTATTTGAGGGTATTTAGAAGTAAGTTTATATCTATCTGAGGGGTAAAATAAGGAAACACACAATTTCTGATGGTAACTTACTGTTTTACTTCATCTAGAAAAATCTCTTTCTCTGGTTTTCTCTCTGTCTCCACATAAATACATTCCACATTGTCATATTTCCCATACAGCCAAGTTACACACTGTTACAATCTCCATAATTTCTCCACACAGCCACATACTTCTTTTGCACAGTTACATCTACATATTTCTTCTATCTATTTTGTTACATTTTTTCACATATTATTACATCATTTATTCACTCTTTACTCACTCATTCTCTCATTCATTCACTCTCTCATCTTACTCTCACACTTCTTCCTGACCATCCACAGCTAGATGTGCCTAACTTTGGACAATAACATGTTACATTTTCTCTCTGCCCTTTCAACACTCACTCTTAGCCTCTGCCCAGCTCTTACACCGTTACTTCACATCGCTTGCTCTCTCCCCTTAGCTAAACTCTGCACAATGTATGTTACATTTTCAGAGTCCACCCATACTCATAACACAAGGTAAGTCATGTAGTTTCTCTTAGGCTAGTAATGTCACATTGACCCATGCACGCAGCTCTAGGTTGACGAGGATCCCAGACAGTAAACAGTTGGCAGAACCTTGAGTCATCAGGATACGAGTGCAGAAAGAGAGCTACTGCAAGGACTATGTCTCAGTGTAAACAGCCTGGCCTTGATTTAGCAATAAACAACACCTGGGAATCAGTCTTTGTGTATTTTCTGCAGGGCAGTTTAGTTTGTTTCAAATTTGTTCTAAAATTAGCTGTCTTTGAGACCGAGAACACTGTTACTTTCCTCTGTCAGTAAAGAAGAATATTCTGGTATTATTTCTGTTCACCAGAATTATATAGCTTAAACAGAAATCATCTTCCTGACCATTCACAGCTATATGTGTGCCAAATAAGTGTAAAACACACTACCAAAGGGCTGTGGAAAGAACTCTGATTCTGATTAGGGAGGCATAACAGTGGCACCCAAGAAAGTTATGGACAACCAATCATTTACAGTCAATAACCCCATGGCTTTGCCAAGTGAGGTCCTCCAACAGGGCATCATGCGTCTGGTGGGTCGACTTGTTACACACCAGTTGTCACTGCTGTACATCCCCACGGCCCCCTGCACTGGGCTCCAGCCTTTTTTTTTTTTTTTCTTCTCTCTGTTCTACCTTCCACTGAAGTGTATCTCTTTTGAGAGAAGTAGGGTCTTGGAGTTATCCTTGCTGTTTCAGGAAACAAAAATATACTATTCAATATAATTTAATTGTGTTTGTTAAAAATTATACTAAACAGGTCTCCTTTAACATCTTCCTTCCTGCTCATTGATCCAACAATATTTCAGTGCCTGTTATGTGGGAAGCACTGTTTCATGAAACAAGACACCACAGAGCAAAGTCCAAATCTTAGCTGGGTGTGGTGACTCACACAGGCAGTCTCAGCAGCTGGAAGGCTAGAGCAGAAGAACAAGTGGCCAGAGTATCCTAGACTATATGTAGTAAGATGCCTCCTCAAAAAACCAGTAGGGGGTGATGGAGATGACCAGCTAGTTCAGTGCTTTCTATGCCAACATGAAGACCAAGTTTGGATCTAACACCCCAAAAAGCTGGGCAGGGCTCTATAATCCCAGCGCCAGGGAGGGAGAGACAAGAGGATCCCTGGGGCTTGCTGGCTAGCCAATCAGTGATCTCTAGGTTCAGGAGAGACCCCACCTCAAAAAATAAGGCGGTGGACTAAAGAGATGGCTCTGTAGTTAAGAGCACTGGCTGCTCTTCCAGAGGACCTGAGTTCAATTCACAGCACCCACGTGGCTGTGGGTTAACAACCATCTACACAGTTCCAGAGGATCTGACACTCTCTTCTGGCTTCTGTGGACACTGCAGACACATGGTACACAAACATATGCAGGCCAAATACGATATACATAAAACTTAAAAAAATAGTAAGGTAGAAGAGTGATTGAGAAAGACATCTGGTCAACCTCTGCCTCTATATGCACATGCACACCCATGTACATTCACCTTTCTCCACATGTGTAGTCATAAATATGTACACACACATGAAAAAACAGTTAGACTCTGCCTCAAAACAAAACAGTAACAACAAAAAAGACCTCTTCTTCCTCCTCCTCTTTCTTCTTCTTCTTCTTCTTCTTCTTCTTCTTCTTCTTCTTCTTCTTCTTCTTCTTCTTCTTCTTCTTCTTCTTCTTCTTCTTCTTCTTTCTCTACCTCCTCCTCCTTGAGAGACTTTCATGTAACTGGGGCTGACCTCAAATTCTGTATGTAAATGAGGATCTTGAATTCCTGGTCCTCTTGCCTCCACCATTTACATGCTGGGATTTCAGGTGTGCATTACCACTCTTGGCCAAAAGGACAATGTCTCATTTGAGTAGAACTTCTGGTCAAGAGTATGAAACATTTTCAATGTTGGAAATTTATTATTAAATGGCTTTCAACTGTAAATAATTTACAGTGGACATTATTGTGTGTGATTTTTATCTCATACATTTAATTCTTAATATGGAATTTTAAGAGTTTAGAGTTTAGTAGTTAATAGGCCCCAAATACTCAGGTTGGTCAGAACTCACCGCATCTTAGTGACATACGTTGACAGCAGCCTACAGCACCAAAAAGATTTCCTCCTGCAAACTGTTCTGCAATACAGAGACATTGTTGGGCTCCTAGAGAAAAACGGAGGTTTGCTTGCTTTGTTTTTAGGGTCACAGTATGCACGTTAAAGTAATAAATCAAGAGAGTTACAGTTTAAGCCAGGACAGAATCACTTTGCAATATCAGGGGAAAAACAAACAAACAACAACAACCACAACCACAACCACAACCCAAAACTCCTGTGAACGGGCTTTGACACTGTTTTGTTTTGTCTGTCTGTTGTTTTTTGTTTTTTAAGATAGGGCCTCACTATGTAGCCTTGGCTGGCCTCAGACTCACAGAGATCCGCCTGCGTGTACCTCCTGAGTGCTGGGATTTTAGATGTGCAACCCACCCCAGGCCTTCATTGCACTTTATCACTAACTAGCCATGGGATCTCAAATTCCCACTGCTTATTTTCTAATATACAAAATTGAAACCTGTTCTGCTAAGCTAGTGAGTTGTGCGAATCCCCTAATTAACATAATGTGTGTTCTCCTTCGTACTGTGGAGCTATTGCTGGGAGGTGGCTGCAAAGTCAACCATCTCTCTCCCGTTCCTTGTTCCTAGGTGGGGCCATGCCTGGGTCTTAACAATGTGGTGTCAGTGGAAGTGAAGTGCGTCCCTTCTGGGATGAAGCATTAGCAGTGAATGTGGCTTCTCCATCCTCACTTCCCTTTGCTTGGAAGACCCCAATGGCAAAGGCAGTCAGTAGACAGAGCAGCTTGGATCCTTGATTCACACACGGAGAAAAGCTCTCCACCAACCAAAACTCCTCTGCACTGGACTGTTTGTAAGAAATGAACTTTGACCATATTGGGTAGGGGCGGGTGGGGTCATGATAGAACATTTTCATAGCATGTGCAAGGCCCTGGGTTCAATCCCTAGAACTGTGGGTAGTATCAGAAAGGAATTCTTAAAAAGAAAGACAGCTGGGCTGGAGAGATGGTTCAGAGGTTAAGAGCAGTGGCTAAACTTCCAGGGTCCTGAGTTCAATTCCCAGCAACCACATAGTGGCTCACAACCATCTGTAATGAGATCTGGTGTGAAGGCACACATGCAGGCAGAACACTGTATACATAATAAATAAATAAATCTTTAAAAAAGAAAAACAGCTTTGCCATATTAAGAAGCTAAAAGTTTTTGATTTTTTTAGTTTTAGTTCTTGAGACTGAGTGCAGGGTCTGGCACATCAAGCCATGCACTCTACCACCGAGCTATACCCAGTCTCCTGACCACTGAAATTATTATGGTCATTAGCATTATCCTAATAGAATAAATGACAATTCTGAGATCTCTCCAGACTCCTGAATCCAGGTTTCTCATCCATGAAAAACAACATGCTAGGCTGGTGAGGCGGCTCAGCTGGTAAAGGTGCGTGCCACCAAGCCTGATGACCTGAGTTCAGTCCCCAGGACTCACATGGCGGAAGGAAAGAGCCAATTCCCACTAGCTCTCCTTTGACCTCCACGAATGCACCAGGACATACACACAAAATAAATACATTTAAGATGTAGTTAAAAAAAAATCCGCCTGGTGGTGGTGGTGGTGGTGGCGCACGCCTTTAATCCCAGCACTCAGGAGGCAGAGACATGGGATCTTTGTGAGTTCGAGGCCAGCCTGGTCTACAGAGCGAGATCCAGGAAAGGCACAAAGCTACACAGAGAAACCCTGTCTCGAAAAACAAACAAACAAAAATCCAAAATCTCGGGCTGGGTGTGGTGGAGCACGCCTTTAATCCCAGCACTCAGGAGGCAGAGGCAGGCGGATCTCTGTGAGTTGGAGGCCAACTTGGTCTACAGAGTGAGTTCCAGGACAGCCAGGACTGTTACACAGAGAAATCCTGTCTCAAAAAACCAAAAAGAAAAACAAGCAAACAAACAAAAAACCCAACATCTCTTAGAGAATGAAGTAGGAGAAAGTCTTGTAGATTAAGAAAAATTAAAATCAGGGCCACTAGGAAAAGATGTCAACAGGCATCGATGCAAATTCACAGGAATCCAAGGTAGTCTCTGTGTTTGTGGTATATTCTGTGTCTTAAACATCCACTTTCAGAATTATGCTTGATTGCTTGCTTCTGCATTCTTGGAGATTCAAGCCAGAGCTTCACACATCTGAATGCTACCATCCACATCCTAGACAAGCACTGAACCCCTGAGCTACATTCCCAGCCCAAAGTTTCCTTTTAAAGTGTGTATCAGTATGTATTGTCTTTCCTGTGCAAGGCACCTTTCATATTAGCTGTAAAAATGTCAAGAAATGCCACCGAGAAAGTAAGACCATACAGTTAAATAACCAACCACCTTCTAACTGTGCCCCAGGGAGGCAAGCTTTGACGCTAGCCTGCCGAGAAACATTTAGAGTTCAGGCCTGCTTCTTGATTGCACAATTATGAGTCACTGATGACTAACCCTTGAATAGTTCTGGTTGCGATCTATGACCCTGGCGAGGGTAAAATATATTTAGCACACGAGAGTCAACAAAATATTAGGTACTGATGTTACTCAAGGTCACTTAAGAAACATAAAACATACAGTATGAATCACCTTCACAGAAGGCAGTATGTACTCTGTGGGTTAAAAAGCACTCTGAGATGGTGTTAAAGGTGCAATTTTAATGATCTAAAGGTATGCGTTTAAGGCCAGCTTTACTAGCTCACATATAATTCAGAAATGTATATTGCTCCAATATTTTAAAGTTAATTTAAGAGTAACTATTAATGTGTTAAACAAAATTTCTTTTAGCTAAAAATTCTACATCTAAGAATCTATCCTAGGGAGGAAAGAACATGTTTAAGAATGTTAGTAAAAAGTCTAGGGGCTAGAGAGGACACGGCATTTCAAGGCGCCGGCTGCTCTTCCAGAGGATCTGTTCAGTTCCCAGCACCCACGTGGCAGCTCACAACTGTCTGTAACTCCACTCCCATGGAATCCAATGCCCTCTTCTGGCCTCCACAGGCACCAGGCACACACGTGGTATAGAGACATACAGCTGTTTATGAATGAACATAAAGTAAATAAATACTTCTTTTAAAATTATGATAATGGGACCCAGCAAGATGGCTCAGCCACTGAAAGCACTCGCTGTACAGGCCTGGTGAGCTGCCTTTGATTCCTGGAACCCACGGTGGAAGGAGGAGGAGAAGACTGACTCCCCAGAGTGGTCCACTGGCCTCCACATGCACACTGTGGCATACTTGCATATGCACACACACACACACATCATACACACACAATAACAGTAAAATAAAAAGCTTAAATTACAATCTTGTCTGGGGATGTAACTCTGTTGTAGACTACTTAACTAATAGGCATGAGGCTCGAGGTTTGATCCTAGCAACCCCTCAAATTATGATTAAATAGAATAATAAGTAGCTTCTAAATAGAGAATGATGTATATAGTAAAAGGAAAGAGTATCCATAATATTTTACTAAGTGAGAAATACCCAGGAGGCAATGGAGAGATGCTGGCCAAAGGGTATACAGGATACACTTGGATAGGATATGTAAATTCTGCAAATTATATCTTCAGCTAGACAAGTAGAAAAGACTTGTAATATTTGTAGTACTGATGGTCACTATATACACTTGAAAGACACTTGAAAACCTGTAAGAAATCTTAAATGCCCTCATCACAATGAACAACTATAAATATGTGAGGTGATAGATATATTAGCTTGATTTATTTAATAGGATATGCAAATATTGAAATATTACATTGCATACTATAAATATGTATTTTTATCAATTTATGATGATGACTTTCTAAGGGGAGTCTGGCCTGGGATTCACAATATAGCCCAGGCTGGCTCCGAACCAGAGGATGCTAGATCATCCTCTATCAGCCCCACAAGTACTGAGATAACACACAGAAGCCACCACACCAAGTTTTATTTGCTATTATATCTTCAGCTAGACAAGTAATATTTGGTTGGTCACCATTACCTCATTCATTTACAATGAAAAGAACAGATAAACAGTCCGGTATACATAAATTACATTTTTGCTTTTTTTTTTTTTAATTATTTTGAGATTGGGTCTTAGCTTAGGCAGACCAGGAAATCACTATATAACCCAGGCTGACCTTGAACTCATGGCAATCCTCCTGCCTCTGACTCCGCGGTGCTGTGATTACAAATGTATAACGCTTCACTCATTTGGAGTTACGTGGACTTGTTACTCTTGTTTTCAGAGGGTCTCATAGAACCCAGGCTGGCCTTGAATTCACTGATCCTTCTGCTACCCCCTGCTGGATGCTAGGATTATAGTTAGGTATTTATATTTTTCAAATGATTAGAAGTATACAGACCAAGCTATAGACAGTGGCTAGTTTAGGAGAAAGAGAAGATGAAGGTTGAGAAGGGTACACGCAATTATTGCACTTGTGTGTGTGTGTGTGTGTGTGTGTGTGTGTGTGTGCGTGTGTGCGTGTGTAGACAGGACACAGGTACAGATTGGAGGACACCCCCAGGTGCTGGTCTTCAGGCTTCACCTTATTTTCAGACAGGCTGTTTCTGTTGTTCGTCCCTGTGGACACCGGGCTAGTTAGCCTGTGAGCTTCCGGGGCGTCTCCTCTGCCTCTCCTTTCACTGTAGTGTGCTTGGATTACAGGTGTGTGTTTTTGCACCCAGCTTTACATGGGTCTTGGGGAATCAAACTCAGCAAGCAATTTACCCACTGAGCCATCTTCCCAGCCCTGACTTAAATTTATTTATTTTTACTGATTTTTAAATTTCATTCAGTTACTTATTCTTGAGATAAGGTCTCACACCGTAGCCAGGCTGCCTCGCCGGCAGCGACCACTTGGCTTCAGCAGGAGGGATTATAGGCACTGAGACACAATGCCCAGCCTCCTTTAAAAATTTAAGCACATGCACTTATGCTTTTTAAGAAATAAGAATGTATAACAAAACAGTGGTTCCTGGGACTAATAACTGAAGATTATTTCTAGGCTACTGGAATTTCTCTGGTAAGGTTCATGGATCCTGGGAATTCCAAGAGCTACTTCCTTGTGGCTGTAGCTACACCCTACTCTGTGTGGCCCACTGTATGACTGCCTGGTGTCCTGCCCAATTTCTGTTACTAAATTAATTTTAGCCAGTTGCAGATTATCATGGCCTGAATATTCAGGAATTTGTCACGGAGCGCTGCGCCCCTCGTGTGTGTGTGTGTGTGTGTGTGTGTGTGTGTGTGTGTGTGTGTGTGTGTACAAAGAATTAAGAGATGAGATGAAAGGTAACACTGTTTTAACCTAAAACTAACAAATGCCAAGGCAGGATCCATATGAACTAACAGGTACACACACACACACACACACACACACTTCTCATCTTGCTCGTCTTTCCAGAAGGAATGACTTATAAGGCATAAAACGTGACAAAGCGTTCATCCTGAATCTTCACGGGTGCCCCCACCCTGCAGAGGCATCGCTGCCTGTCTTTGGGAGCGTCCTGAGAACATCCATTTCACTGTGGACTTCGACGGGGCTGGGAAGGATGCGAAGACACCGTGATGCAGACTTTATGGTCTTGGTTATATGAAAAGCTTTATGGTTTACTTCTAAAAGATCCCACCACCACTTCAAAAATTAAGAGAAAAGGTGAGAAAACGGAACGTTCCATGTTTAATTAGCTCTCCAAAAAACGTTTCAGAAAATAAATCAGAGGTACTCAATGTTGAATGCAAAATGGTCCGGTTTCTCGAGATTAGAAACACTAAAACTCAAACTCTGTAGCCGAGAACGTCTGCTAAGTTTTGATTATAGCTCCTCACTACATCCTGGTTGCACTTAGAACAGGTTTCGTTTCGCTGTACTCACTCTGAAGTCTTTTCGGGGTGCCTCCTATGCCCCAACAGTCTGCAAACCCCAGGAAACGCCAAATGTCCAAGTTCAAATAATTTCTCCTTTCCCTTCCCAGTGGGGCTGATGCTTCTGCCACTCTTCCCAGAACCCTCCTAAAGATGCACTCTGGGAAACGTAATTTAATCGCTACGCCCGCGACAGTAATTATAATTGGCCAAAAATCATACGTCTGCCACACTTCCCAGCATTCCCCCAGAGACTAGAGATGCACTCTGGGAATTGTAGTTCAATTTCCAGTCACGGCGTTGTGACCTTGGATAGCAAAGTGAACTGCAGTTGTCAAAGTTTATAATGAAAACCACCACAACCAAAGAACTCTTTCAGTTTCCAGCTCTTTCTGGGCTGGAGGTTTTATTTGGATGTTGCGTAGCTGAATTGGTGAGTTCCATGTTCAGTGAGAGATCCTGCCTTAACAAACAAAGGGAGAGCCATGGAAGAAGACATTCAATGTCAACTTAACCCTCTGCACTCCCACACTTGAACATGCACCCATGGACACGCATGTGCCCATGCACATGAACCCACACATATATTTACACACACACACACACACACACGCACGCACGCACGCGCACACACACGTACGCACGCACGCTCGCACATAAAAAAAACCTTTTTTTTTTTTTTAAAGGCTAGTTTTTTTGAGAGTTGTTTTTTTGGGAGGGTTGTTTGTTTGTTTGTTTGTTGTTTTTGTTGTTGTTGTTGGTTTTTTTTGAAGGCTAGGAGTCCCAGGCCTTCCTTTAATCCCAGGAGACAGCTCTCTGAATTTGAGGCCAGCCTGGCTTACATAATAGGTTATAGGTTATCCAGGGGTACACACTGGGGCTCTGTCTTGAAATAAATAAACAAACAAAAAAAAATAAGAGAGGGCTGTGCTTAGGTATATACAAGTTTTTGGTATAATTTCTACCTTGATTGATCAGTCAGACCAGCAACATATTACACCAAAATCCAGTAAAGCTACCCAGGGCTGCCCTTTTATTACTATGGAAGCTGCTTGTTTATATGAAAAGCCAGTGTTGTAGGCCGCTCATTCAAAATCTGTTTAGTTAACATCAGTTTTTCATTTTTGTGTGTGGGTGTTTTGCCTGCAAGTGTGTCTGTACACCATGTACATCTCTGGTGTCCTTGCAAGCCAGAAGGGGGTATCAGATCCCCTGGAACTGGAGTTAAGGATTAAAAAAGCACAGAATACATAAAAAACATATATTCGTGTGTAAACCAAATTCTATGGGAGGAAACAACAAAATAAGTAAATATACAGATGGTTATAAGTGCTGGGGGAGATTAAAACACATTAGGAGGAGGAATGGTTTTGCTATTTTGTGTAGGCTGGTTAGCCTCATTGTTGAGGCAACATTTGAATAAAGAGCTTGAAGAAGGTAACAGGGAAAACCAAGTCAGGGTTTATGGGGAGAGACTTGTAGACAGAATAAAATGAGCTTATGCAAAGGGCCTGGGGTGAAAATGTGCCTGGCAGATTTAAAGAAAGGGTAGGATTGAGGCTGGAGCGATGACACAATAGTTTAGAGCCCTGGCTGTTCTTCCAGAGGACCTGGGTTCAATTCCCAGCTCCAGGATGGAATTCTAGTTCCAAGGGATCTGAGGCCCTCTTCTGGCCTCCGAGGGCACTGTTTGAATGTGGTACAGAGATGTACGTGCAGGAAAAACATCAATATAAGTAAAAATAAAAAGTAAAATAAAAAAGGAAGGTCGTGGTATGAGAGAGGAGATCAAATAGTAAACAGACATTAGAACGCATAAGTGCTGAGTCCTTACAAAGCCATTATAATATTCTTGCTCTTACTCTGAGAGGGGTGGAATGTCACTGAAGGACGTCGTAAGCAGAATGAGAGGACTTGACTTACCTTTTAAAAGAATCACGGAGCTGGGCGGTGGTGGCGCACGCCTTTAATCCCAGCACTCGGGAGGCAGAGCCAGGCGGATCTCTGTGAGTTCGAGGCCAGCCTGGTCTCCAAAGCGAGTTCCAGGAAAGGCGCAAAGCTACACAGAGAAACCCTGTCTCGAAAAACCAAAAAAAAAAAGAATCACGGGCTGGCAGTTAGACTGTAGGGGACAAATGTTACTAAATCCTGAATGTAGTTAATATATATATCTAGATTATTAGGAAAAGAAGAGCAGATCTAGTTAACTGGCTAGCCATTTTGTTTCTAACGGTAAGGGGAGAGCAGGTGTGTGTGTGTGTGTGTGTGTGCGTGCGCGCGCGCGCCATTGGAAAACCTTGGGCAGCATTTCTCAGGCACTATCCACATGGGTTTTTGAGACAAGATCTCTCAGCCTGAAACTCTCTGAGAAGGCTATGCTGGCTAGCTATTCATCCCCAGGGATCTGCCTGTGTCCGCCTCCCCAGCACTGGGGTTATAAGTGCAGGCCACTGTGCCCAGCTCTTTCCATCAAGATGAAAAATGGGACCTCAGAGATGGCTCACCAGGTAAAGGATCTTGCTGCTAAGCCTAACAACCGGAGTTCAACCCCCAGAACCCACGTGATAGAGGGAGAGAAGCCATTCCTGCAAGCTGCCCTCTGACTTCCACATCAGGGCCATGGAACATACTCTAAATTTATTAATTAATGTAAAAATAGATAAATGCCATCTGAGGAATAACCTAAGGTCAAACTTTTGCCTCCTTATACACACGCACACACACACACACACACACACACACACACACACACACAGTAAGTTGGCACTGATAAAGGTTACCATTTACATTACTGCATTTCTAGGCTCTCAATACACCCACACCCCTAAGGCACACAGAGGCAAAAGCTTGACTGCTATTCTGACAACCAAGGAAATGTGGGCAGTTGAAGAAGTCTCCCCAAGCTGTGCAGCTAGTGTAGCCCAAGTGTTCCGCTCTCTCCATTGGGCCACACTGTCTTTAAAGGTACAACCAGCAGGAGCTGCCCTCTCTGCTGATTAGAAGGCAGAGCTACAGCCTCTCCCACCCTGCATCTGGGGCACTATTGTCCTAACAAACAGCAGCCTGGAAGTAACCAACACACATCATCAACACACCAGCTGAGTGATGGAGCTGGAGTACCACTGGGGCTGGCATGGTGGGAAATCCCTGGAATGGAGGGTACAGTCACAGACATGTCACTAAAGTGGGGCCAGGTCTTATCACCAAGGGAGGCCACCTTCCCTGCAGCCAACTCTCACGCCTGGGACATTATGAGAGACTCTGGGGGACTTCTTCTCACTCAGTTCATCAACACACATACAAGCCCCAGGATCCAGTTTTTATTCTCAAAGGAAAAAAAGAAATCCTGATTTCTTAGTGACCATGAAGACTCAAGGGAAGCCATAGAGAGAGGATGCAGGGGCCATTTCCCACCAAGTCAGGGTCAAAGGGCCAGTAGACTTAATCTGTCCAGACACACAGCAGGACCCATTATGTAGCGTTTTTGTGTGCAGCCCATTTATCAGGTCCCACCACCAAGCAAACAGTAGCCAGGCCAGCACCATCCCAGCCAAAGCAAACACCCTGCCCCGCCTGGGGTTTTCTGCTCTTAATTTAGCGTGCTGCCTTGCCATGGCTTCTTTCCAGCGCTCATTACCGGGAATTTGTAGGAACAGCCCAGAGAGGACAGTAAAATGGAAGGCTCCCTGCTCTGAGCATGCACTAAGAGCCAGGATGGATCAGCTTGATTTAGGACTCAGCAGAAGTTTAAATCCCTGCCCAGGGCACGTGCAGACAGGTATATGTCCCCCCACAGGGACATTAGTCATCCAAGGCATCAAGTCTGTTCTTCAGGTGCCAAGCACGGGTTTTACATCCGAGGAAATGAGGTTGACTCCTTTCTGGAGGCCCCTCCTATAATCTCCCGTAATGCTCAAATTTGGAAGTGTTTCCAACCAGAAAGGTTCCTTGGAGCAATCCCATACCCACAATCCCCCTCTTCTAAGAGATGCCAGGAAAAGGCCTGCCAAAGGCCCCTGGCCCTCCCAACAAACCTCTAATGTTCCCATTTGGGTTCTGGAGCCCTTCCTGAGGTCAGGAAGAGTGCTCAGGGGATTAGGAGGGACAAGGCCTCAATCCAAGAGCCATCCCCGCCATGTGTGGCCTTGAGCAGGCCATGCTTCCATACGAGCCTCTCAGCGTCTGTCACAGGCAGCACCCACCCTCACTTGGTCAGTGAATCTTTTCAGAGATGAAGTCCCTCAGAGTCTCTCATAATGTTCCAGGCAGCAGGGAAGGTGGCCTCCCTTGGTGATAAGGACCTGGCCCCACGTTAGTGACATGTCTGTGACTGTACCCTCCATTACAGGGATCTTCCATCATGCCAACCCCAATGCTACTCTATCTCCATCACTCAGCTGGGACATAGTGTAGGCACCAGGAATGGTGCCTGGACGGCTGTGTGGTGGTCCACTGATGTGCAGCTGTATGTTGGTCTGTTCATGTGAGGAGCCATGTCCTAGAGTATGGAGTTCTCTGGGCTCTGCTGTGTGCCATCTCTTCTTCAGCCTCCTGGGCACTGCGGCATACTGGTGTCTAGGGGAGTTAGAAGAGCTGAGGTTGGAGCTGGCTCAGACTCCCAGACATCTTCCAACAGCAGCATTAATCCCAACCCAGGCTACTTGCATCAGCAATGTAGAAGAAACGTCAGACCCGAGGCCTAAGGTGGCCCCAGGTCTGACCACACCTGTCCTTGGACTGGAGAGATAAACAGGGATTCAGCTCTGGCTGTGCACTAGAATTACTGGGACATTTCCCAGAGATTTTGATCCCAAAGACTGGAGTGTGTCCTGGGGTGTCTAAAAGACCTCAGAGACGAGCACATGACCTTTGTAAGCTAGGATGTGCCTCGACTGCCTTCCTGTCCTGGAGCTGGGTTAGGACAGGTCAGAATAGATGAAAAAGAGCCAGTGAGAATACTCTGCTGGTGAAGGCGCTTACTGTCAAGTCTGATGACCAAATTCCATCTTCAGTGTCTGCTTGGGGAAAGGAGAGAACTAATGCCCATGGATCATCTTCTGACCTCTCCACGCACAACGTGGCATGAAGGCACACAAGCACACACACACTATAAATAAATTAAC